CCTCTTTTGCATAAAAATCTGAATATTCACAAGAAGCTACAGGCTACCTTAGTACCTTCAAGCTTCTTCAGTGGAGGCACTGAGGGTGGCAGGAGGAATAAATCCAGAAACATTTTCCCTGAAGCAGAAAGGCAGCTGAAGCTTCTCAGTGATGGTCAATTCTGTTTTCTTTTGTTGATCTTGAAAAGAGGGGGTCATTCTGCATTAAATACCTGGACAGAAAAGTCTGTGAGACTGTTATCTCCAGTGAACCAGGAAAAAAGTCACAAGTGGCTCAAATGGTATTGTGCCAGTCGAGCAGAAAAAAGCGACGGGAAAGTGTGAGGTTCTTAAGTTGAAGCCCCAGTACTGGCACCAGAAAAAAAGAAAGAGGCCTGGGAAGGTGGCTTAGTGGCAGAGTGCTTGCCTAGCATGCATGAAGTCCTGGGTTCAATTCCTTAGTACCACACAAACAGAAAAAGTTGAAAGTAGCACTGTAGCTCAAGCAAAAGAAATTCAGGGACAGTTCCTGGGCCCTGAGTTTAAGCCCAGGACCAGCAAAATAAAAAAAAATTAAAAAAAAAAGAAGAGCAAAACTCAAAAATGGAAAAATGAGGTATTTTATTTACTAATATAGATAATAAAGATTTTTTTACACAATAATTCCTGTAAAAAATAATGAAATAGCTGGGAGCTGGGGGCTCACGCCTATAATCCTAGCTGCTCAGGAGGCTGAGATCTGAGGATAACTGTTCAAAGCCAGCCCGGGAAGGAAATTCTGTGAGACTTTTATCTCCAATAAACTACCAGAAAACTGGAAGTAGTGCTGTGGTGGCTCAAGTGTTAAGCGCTTGCCTTGAGCTGAAGAGCTTAGAGATAGCTTCCAGGCTGAGTTCAAGCCCCCAACCAACAAAAAACTATCTATATGCACACAGTAGCAATATGTTATGATGCTTGGTGATGGTTAGTGAGGTAGAAAATTCTAAAAGGATGGATGGATTTTGTCAAAGTACTATTGACTTTGAGGTGGAAAAGAAAAGAGCAGGACTTGGTGGCAAGGTTGGGGACAAGTCTTCCTCTGAGAGGTAGCTCGGGAGGTGGGTGCTAGTTAGGGATTACAGATTTCTTCAGGAAAATCATCTGGTAATCCAACCATGAAGGCACACTGAAATAATTATATACTGAAAATTGATTTAGGCTGATTATGTATCGTCAAACAATCTTCTCTGTCTATCTGTCTCTCTCACACGCACGCACAGGATTCATTTTCTCTAAAAGAATATAAGCTGCATGAAAGGAGATAGTCTGCTATATTTGTGGTGCCTAGAAAAGTGTGGAATACAGTAAATATTTAGACAGAGACTTGCTTGGAGACAGGTTTCAACAGGCAAATCTATTCTCGCAATCTATCCTAGGAAAAATTAGGGACTCTACTTCTGCTTTGTATTAACCGATGCCATAATCAGGCCTGGCTTCCAGAACAATTTTGTAAAAGACAAATTTGAGATTATTAACTTGCAAAGACAGCAAAGTCTAAGAAAAAGAGCCCTTGTCTCACTTCCTTTGATGAAAGTGTAGTGTTGTCAACTGTCTGACAGTGGACAAATCTCCTTCATAACTTTCCAGGCCTCACAGGCAATGCGAAAACTGTCTTTTGGCTAGAAAGCATTACAAAGTCAAGAGTTGCTTTGATTTGTTTTTACAAGCCCTCTGTCCCTTGTGTGGGAGACAGAGTCATTGCTACGTTGCTTGGGTAAGAAATATCTTTGCAAACATTAATTTTTAGTCCTAACCTGTTGTGCTTTCCTTCCCCTGTTAACTAAATTAAAAATAAGTTCTCTTAAATTACAAGATATGGTTACAGTGTAAATAACCACGGAGTGCTGGAATGCTAGGGCGCTCAGCTTGATTTGTGGATTTCTACACTTGAGTCAGGCAAGCTATTTAGTTGTCCAATGCATCAGTTTCCTCCTAAGAATAAAAATGAGCATATCTGGCACAGGACCTGGCCATGATCAGGACTTAGAATATTAAACTATTCTCATTTCTCAATTTCCCTGCTCATCTTTAAAAGATGTATGTATGCATGTATGCACATATATGTACATACTTTATAATCATATAGATTATAATCTCAGATCTAGAGGTTTTTTTAGAGCTGGAAGGCACTAATAGATCAAGTCCAAGCATCCTTCTTTGCCCATGAACATTTATTTATACAGTTATTATATTTCTTTCTGTCAGTCTCACAGGGCCAGAGTGATGTGCTTAGTTACAGACGTGATATCCAAGACTGAGATTCCTGGCTTAGAACTGCATTTTTTTTCTATCTTTCTTCTACTTAGCACTATTTGATTTAAATAATTTCAGACAGAACCATTCATATAGATGGTTCCCCTAAACTTGCTTCTCATTAAGTGCTATTACTATATGTGACTTATTTTCCAGATTGCTGATCTCTTCATACACTAGGAAGTTTATTTAGGCAAAGGAGTCTATTTGATCATGAACAAACTCAGTGACTAGTAGTCAGAGAAGTATCTGGCTTTTGGAACAGATAAACTCTGAACATTGTATCTTTTAATTTTTTTAGATGCTTACTTCACCAATATATAATCTAATATTACAGCCCCTGAGCCAGGGCGCAAGCTCTATTTTATACCCCACCACTGACTCACGGTAAGATCTTGGGCAAGTCACTTGACCTTCTTATATTTCAGTGTGTCAAAGTAGCCATAAAACTGTGTAAAAGCATGACCTCATTACAAACCTACTACACTTGAAAGTTAAGATGTGCTTTGATACATTAAAGAAATCACCAGAGGAGAACTCCAGGCTGTAAAATATGGAGAAACAGGAAAAGGAATTTTATTACAATAATGAAACTAATTCTAAGATGTATAGTTTTTAGCAAATAGTCCTGAAAAGTTTTTCAAAGTACTTTGTTTGGGTGGAACATGGTTAATTAACCCAGGAAAAAATGATCAAAAATGATGGGTTTTAAAAAAGCATAGATTGTAGTAACTTCATAAAAATAATGATGAGGGGGGCTGGGAAGGTGGCTGAGTGGTAGAGCGCTTGCCTTGCATGCCTGAGGCTCTGGGTTCGATTCCTCAGCACCACATAAGCAAAAAGAAAAAAGCCAAAAGTGACGCTGTGGCTCAAGTGGTAGAGCGCTAGCCTTGAGCTGAAGAGCTGAGGGACAGTGCCCAGGCCCAGAGTTCAGGCCCCATGACCGGAACCCCCCCAAAAAAAAAAACAAAAAAAATAATGATGAGGAATGGAAGATTATTAGAAACAAATAGATCCTCGATAATTAAACACATTTCATTTCTAGGCTATTATTTCCCCTCTATACTATGCATTCTGAAATTTTAAATATCTAACTAATTACTCTATGAAAAACCTGGCACAAAGAATGCAAATTCTCTTAGGAATACAATAGTTTTGATCATGAGTTTGGCCATGTAGACTCCTAACTCACTGGATTATTGAATATGCTTTAAATTGTCCTTGTGTATCAGTCAGTGATTCTTCTCTATGAACACAGGAACACTATTTTGTGGGGAAATATTTGTGAATATTTTCTTTCTGCAGAGAGAAAACAGATTTCTGCTCCCGCCTCCCTTTCAATCAAACAGCAGGTTCACCCTTTCTGTGGCATTCTAGAAAGAACTTGGGTAAGCAGAGTTCCACAGACGCTGACATCTTGTCTAAGGTCATTCCAAGAAGTCCTGTGGCATTTGCAATGCGCCGGAATATTTTCTATCCTTTCAAAAACATTTTCCTGAAGACTCTGTCCAAGTCAGGAAACAAACATAATCAAGAAAAGCCTTTCGGAGCGCAGTGTGCTCATCACACACATGGCTACCTTTCCTTGAAATAAGCCAATGAGAAAAAGAACCTGCTACTTTCCGGACTCTGTACACAAAAGATCAAATGCTGTGTGCTGCCTTGGCAAGAAAAGAAACTGCAGCATTTTTGTCAAAGGTCTTTTTTCTTTTTACAAGTCCTGTGCTGAAATCGTTCCTTTTCTAGTTTGCAGAACAATGGAGAACAGGAGGAAATTAAAACATTATCATATTTTAAACCGAGGTATGATCAAGATTAAATTACAGTCCAGACCCATACCAGAAGCAATCGGCTGCGTTTGCTAGCTGTAATCTACATGTTCCTAAATATCTTTTTTCCTTCCTTGTACGGATGAATTTATGTCTAAAAGGCTGGCTCAGGAAGACGGTGAAAAAATATTTTTAAAGCTTTAAAGGTCTATTAAAAAAGATGCACAAATCTACTCACTTCAATAAGAAGACAAGGGCCAGCATGAATAGTATTTGCCTTAAGACGAGTTCAAAACAGTAGGGGAGAGGTATTTAGCTATGGTTAACAACAATTCACGAGAAAGGAGAAAGCGCTGCGGACTGCGCGGACACGCAGGTGACAACTGCGCCCCCCAACCAGCCGGAGACAGTTCTCCCACACGCGAAAATCAGAGTCTCAGACCAGCTTCTTCCCCAAGGCCCACCCCCTTGGCCCCCGTGGACCCTTCTCCGGCAGCCGCAGGTGAGCGGGCATCTCCCCGCCGCCCCCCGTCCCCCGCCCGCTCCCCGCAGCTCCCCGAACCCGCACGGTGGGAGAGGTGGGAGGGTCCCACAGGTGGGGCGGGGTTGGGAGAGTCCGGGGAGACAGCTTGGAGCCCAGGGCCGTCCCCAGGTTGGGTCAAGAAGGGATTCGGCAGCCCCCTCCCCGCCGGCCCCCCAGCCCGCTCGCCACCCCAGCACGGAAACCCCCTCCCGCCCCAGGCCGCTCGTAACCCTGGGCCCCCGCAGGACTGGGCCTGCTGCGGCCCGCGCCCAGGCGGCGGTGCGAGGCCCAGAGAGCCGGGGGCGTGGCCGCTCAGGGGGGCGTGGCCAAGCGGCAAGGCCCGGCCGTCGCAGGACCGCCCTGCGCCAGGCGGCCCCCGCCGCGGCGGAGGGATACGGCGTGCCATATATAAGCCGCGGCGCGCAAGCTCGCGCTCAGGCAGTGGCGCTGGGAGTCTCGTGGACGCGTTGCCGTTACTCGCAGTCGGGCGGCGGCGCAGGCAGCGGCGGCGGTAACCGCGCACAGCGCACCCCGCGCCTTCGCAGCCACAGCAGCAGCCGCGGAGGCACCCCCGTCGTCCCAAGCCTGCGCTGGTGCAGCCTTCTTCGCTCCCTCTGCTCATCCTCCCTCCGCTCGCACCATGGTAGGTCGGGAGCGGCAAAACCCGCATAGCAGCTGCCCAGGATTTCTTCCCAGATTTTCAGGCTTTTTTCCCCCCTTGGTTTTTCATTGGCGGCGGGGGGGGGGGTGCTGGGATTCTTTTCTCGTATGCCGGTGTTGCGCAGCAGCTGCGGTCGAAAAGGATGCATTTCGGATTTGCATCTCGGTTTTCTCCGCCAGGGAGCCTCCTTTTTAACTGATGGGTCCCTTGGAGCCGGGACCCGACCGTGGGTTGCTGTCCACGGGCTGTGGCCGCTGGCACAGCTGCACGGGAGGGGGGGTGGTCCTTCCGCATCCACCCCCAGCCCCGCACCCACCGCATCCAGCGCGCCGCACCCGGGCTGCCTGCAGCGCTGCTCCTGGGCCGGGGCCCGGGGGGCGGGGGATCCGGGCGGGGCCGGGCCCGGAGGTCCCCCTCCCCCACGCTCCTTCCCCGCCGCGAAGGTGGCGGGGCCGGCGGGCGCCCGCGGGCGGAGAATGAATGGGCCCGCGTGAGCCGGTGGCGCACATTGCTTGGGCGCGGGGTTCGAGGTGCCACCAGCGTCTGACCCCCCCCCGCCCAGTTCCTTCCCTCTCCCCCCCCCCTCCAGACCGATCCAGTTGGGCGCTCTCCCTCCTGGGGGGGGGCGCGGCGCGGGCGTGGGCTGGGAAGGAAGGAGCCGGGG